TACTGAAAAGTTTGGACTATTTCTGTTTCAAAACCTTCTAACCCCTAAATTTGTCATATGGTGATTACTTTCCCTTTTTTTTTTTTTTTTTTTTTCCTTTTTTTTTTTTTTTTTTTTTGCACCGTGGTGCTCAGTGCCTGCAGTAGTGTTTCATCAAGGGAGAAAAGGAAAATGAAAACCATTTCAGATTCACTTAAGCTTTACTCATCAGTCACCAGATGCTTTACTTCACTCGTTGTACATACTTTTGTAGGCAGGACGATTTCTCCTTGATCACACCTGAAACATCTGTAGCCTCCAGAGATCCCAGTATTATCGTTCAGACAGCTGATTTAAATAAAGGTTCTGATGCTTTATCGATAATCAATCTGTACATAAATGTGCGAAGGGGGGGAGAGTCAGGTTTTAATCTCATCAGTCATTCAGTGTTGGTTCAGCAGAGGTCGAAAAAAATCTTCACCTCATTTTTGTCTTTTTAATCATAACGAGAATAACTGATAAATATAATATTATTATATATAAATAAACTGTATTAACTTGCAGATGCAGTGCACTGGATTTAAGCCATTTACAGGAGAGTTTAAAGTGAGCATCAGGGTGTCCTGGAAGTAAGAGGTCAGTATTTGTCGAGACTTAAATGACCCGAAGCTGAATGTATCTCATCTCAAGTTGTCTGCATCCTTCCAAACCTCTAAGTCAAGACTTCTCTAAACACCCTGAACCTCTGAGGTGTTTTCTAAAATCAGGCACGTTGGAGGTTCACCGCCTGATCTGGACTCTGCTCTCCTTCAACAACATGGACCTGGACAAGAAGTCTAAGAATGTATTCCTCATGTTTCTGTTTAAATCTGTAAAATGTGCTCTTGTTTCTGACGAGACTGATCACAAAAACGAAAAAACAAAACAAAAAAACCCACCCTGCTGTGTTTAAAAAGCTCTGTACAGTAACCATTCTGCATTATGCTAATTTCTCCATCGTTAATTGTGCTGATGTAAAACAATCTCGAGTGAGAATCAGACAATCAGAGGAAAATCTGCAGAAGAGCCGACGCTTGAAGTTTAAATCTGACCTGTAGCCGCTCTGCATTCATTTATTAATCAGAATCTTTTAGGAGCTACTGTAGCAAAGTAACGTTTAGTTTAAAAGGAAAAAAAAAAAGGTCAAAGTTCACCACTTCTGGGTTATTTTACTGTGATCATACCAGAAGCAGTGTGGTTCAATCACTGTGTTTCTTTAAAAACAATTAGCATAATGAAAAGGGGGGGCACGAGGATCTATTTTTCTGACTCGCTCTTTTGTTACTGTTTAATTCTTTTTTTCCTTTTTGCATTATCTGAAGTGTGCAATATGCCCGAAATCCAAAAAAAGAAGAAAAAAAGGTGCAATTTGTTTGAAAAAGTAGCATTTGTTTTGTATTCAGTTGTAAGATGTTACTGTTTAAACCTATAACACTGCATGCAAACAGAAATGAGCCGGAAAAGGCGACTGGAGCGAGTCAACTTTGCATTTCAACAGTCAGAAAATTCTCCACAAAAATATGAACTTGTTCAGTTCTTTATTATTATTTTTTAATAAATCAGTTTGAAAAGCCAAAAAGCCTGTTCATCTTTCCCCCTCCTTTGTCAAAAATACTGTAGTATATGTAAAATAAAAACTTATAGAAAATTGAGACGAGTATTTGTTATTTACTTTTTTTTTATGTTTGAAAAAACTTGACAGTACACATTTAAAACAGGAATTTTTTTATTGGTTCGTTTTAGAGCAGGATCAGCAGATTCAGTCAAAAATCAAAGAACTGATTCTGTTAATTATGAAGCATTTTAGAAACACATGATCTGTGTCAACATCTATATGGTAAAAACTAAAACATTTTAATGGCTTCCACACAGGAAGCGATGACAGGCGACATAACGGTTGGTGAGGGCAAAGTGGGCGTATCCCGAGATGAGCTTTACTCAACTTCAATCAATTTCGGCCAATAAGAGCACAAGATACAGTTAATTGACATATCACAGTGCGGTAAATGCGTTAGAGGGTTACCTAGGCAACCAGGGTCTAGAAAGTCCACTAGCGACGAACCTTTTAGCTTCAAGGCTACGCGTGATGAGTGACATCGCTTCCTGCGTGGACCCAGCTTCAGTATTTTGATCAGTGTTTACTGTAAACTGAACTTTTTTCCTTTATACTAAAAATTAGGCGCAGATTTAAAAAAAAAAAGAAAATTAGAAGAAGCGGAAACTGAAATGTGTGACCATGGTAATAATAATAATAATAATAATAATGATGATGATAATAATGACGCAGACAGTCTGAGGTACACCTGCTTGAGGTGGGATTTACGTCGTTGGCTCAGTTAAACTTGTATGGCTTCTTCTGCGGTTCATTTTTTAAAGGGTTAGTTCACTCAGTAATATTGGAAGCATTCGTTTTCTTGCCTCACTTGAATCGACATTAACCTAATGAATTTAAGGCTGTCCATTTACCCACTTATGTACTACATGCAGAGAGTTTGCTACAGCTCTTGGCACATTTCAGACACTACATGGATGTAACACAGCAACTGCACAGAAGTCTCTTTAGCTGCAAAATACTCCAAAACAAGGTTGCAAAGTAGAAACAGAGAGCTGAAAGACGCTGCAGAGTCATGTGAAACGACTCCATTTCAGTCATTTGAGGCATTTTAAGGCAGCTGGGAAAGACTCCGCTTACAGCTTTATCTTAACTCAAACTCACCATGGCAATTCATTCAGTCAACTGTTTCTGAATGACATGTGAAAAAGTACTTGGCTTGACGTGGTTTGGTAATTTGAGTGAACTGACCCTTTATTAAAACACTGAGAGGTTTCACTCCCAATATTCAGTTTCACTGAGGTTTCATTCCCAATATTCAGTTTCTCTCACATGAGATGGTCCATAGGTTTCAAAAGTAGTGACAAACATTCCTGTTGACACTGTATGACAGCACATGAGGGCCATTTTAAATAAACAATGGAGCCAAATTTCCGACTTACTCTTTGAAACATTGCTCGACTTTGCAAGGCTGGTTTAACCTCATCGCACTGTACATAAATATGTGATTCGATTGGTGTTTGTTGAATAACAATGACGTTACAGAAACTGACATAATCTTGAAAACTAAAGTGAAAAAAAATTCCACCCCTTAAAATTTCAAAATGTATTACATTTTTCCCTGTGAACTCCAAACTTTAAAGTGGAGCTAGTGTGTTTTATCTTTTATTTCCTGTTTTATATATATATGCTAGCCAAACTTTCAAATAATCAGGGCAGTATACCTAAAACACAGAAACTTGAAGCTGGTGTATGCAAGGGGCAGCCAATCAGAAGGAAACAGACTTAATAAAGGGGGAGGAGCTAAAACAGCTTGTTTCAGACAGAATCAACTGGTGGGCGACACCTAAATAAATTATTCAGGAATTATTGTGAACTGTGGATTATGAAAAACTACCCAGAATGGCCCCCATATGCTGTCAAAAGAATAAAACCAGAAGACTAGAGCTGCTTTTGCTTCAGGTTAGGTTAGCTGAGCATAATGACTGAGACGGCCAGTGGTGAGTCTTTTTAAAGGTCCTAAACTCCTTCTACAAAATGAGTGGGTAGAAATAAATATAAAATGTGTTCATCTGTGACCTTCAAAAACTAGTAGTTGTATTTTTAAACAGGATTCAATTTGCAGCCCCCTTCCAGTTTTATGCAAAGCTAGGCTAAGCTTAGAGTTTCCTGACATTTAAATCTTTCTTTCTTTCTGTTCCTTTACACGATGCTTTTTAAAGATGATCCTGTGTACTCTCCTCCTCACACGTGACATTATTCGTCTCCAGTTTTTGTGCTATTCAGTGTAAACAAGTCAAATGCACCTAAAACGGCAGGCAGGTGAGTGTGCAGTTTAGTGACCACAATTAGAGGACTTGCAGCGCATGCGAAATGTGTGGTCTCTAAAATAACGATCGTACCTTGTGTAATCTGGTGATTTCTTGGCTTACTTTCCTGTTAAATAAACATGAGGTGGCTACTGCAATATCTGCCTGACGTTTTCACACCGAAGTCTGTAACAGACTGTAACTGAGCGGAAAATGTACTGAAAACTCCCGACAGCCCAGGCTGTAATTATATAATTTAAATGTATATATCGTAACAGATTTGGCAGCTAAAGGCGGCTTTCAAATACGCAGGATTTTACAGCAACTGTGATTACTTTGGTATTAGTGCATAGGTGCAGTTCTAGATACCACAAGGACTATTTACACATTCTTTGATATATTAACTAAAAGTTACGTCAGGCAGCAGGATCAGCTTAACTCGACACCGGTCCCCTTTGTCACTCGCAAAGGACACCATGCCGGACCCACACATCAGGAAACAGTTTAGGCAGCTGTGATCTTTGCCTGAGTGTTTTTCAATCTCAAAGAGAGGCCCTCATCGCCTTCCGGTGGAGGCAGACACGAGGTTCACGTCTCCATAAGGCAGCTCCGTGTCTCCTGCTGAGTGAAGGGGAGCGTGTGTGTCGTGCAAATGTGCAAAAGATACTACAAGACCCGTGTAGGTCTGAGTCCAAACTGAACAACAGACCGTCTTCAGAACTTCCCAAACCACCTTCATCATCTCCTCCTCTTCTCCCTCTGAGTGTTTTTGATTGAGTTCCTTACATCTGCAGGGCAAAGACATCTCCAGTATCAGTCAAGGAGGAATTAAACGTAGATGTACTGCAGACATGAACTTTTCTAGCCATAACCTAAAAATCTTGGATGAGTTTGAATCCTGGTGACCTTGAGCTCAAAGTCAAGATTGGAGGTCAAGTGTTCTGAAAATCTTGTAAACGCAATAATTCAATGTAATGTAGGATTCTGGGACTGATCCGATGGCTGTGTCTACTTCGAGGCTGAGGGGTTGCCAATTTAGCTTTTTTTGTCCCCCCCCCCCTATTAGTAGCATTGAGCAACAATATTATAGGATATATCATAATTTCAGCAGCAAAACTATACAACCTAATGTTTGAGAAACATTGGTACTCTGGATGTTGGATCTTTTTCCTTCTAATTCACTGGATCAAACCTGAAAAAGTGTGTTGTACATTTTAAGGCATCCATCTGGGACAGGTGACCAAAAGAAATCAAAGCATCTAAAAAGTCTCTTCACCTACATTGTGATGGCAGGCTCATCTTCTAGCTATGATTGTGAATGTAAACCGTATAATTACCTTCTTCTCGCACTTCATCTTCAGTCTTGCAGTAACATCTAAACAAGAACCTACCAAAAAAGAAAGGACAGGTAAAGCTCTGAGAACATTTTACAAAACCACACACACCTGGCTACCAACATAACCTTGTGTGTCCATAATTTTATAACATATGAAACAAAACAAAAAAACCCCTTAACAAATTAGTAAAATTAACTAAACAAGCAGAAAAAAGGCAAATAAACTATAAAAGCAAGAAAGCCATTCTAAGTAAAGCTGAAGTCTGAGGGTTGATCATATTCTAATTACCGAGCTTTTTCATATCTTTATATGTTACCTGCGACTGGTCGATCACCAGCCAGCGCTCCGTGCTGGTCTGCATGTCCTGACCGCTAAGAGGCTCCCGCAGTCTGACCTTCACTTCAATGCGACCCCCTGTGGGTTTCCGTCCGTCCATCACCTGGCACACGAAACACCGTGATCACATCCTAACCCTCTCAGACAAACGGCCTCCTGATTTCTGTCATAACAAATTAACTTAAAAACACCACAGATCAATCTCCTTATCCTTTCAAACTGAATGTCATTCACCTCGACAATCTCCCTGATTTCACTGTGTGACTCCAGCTTGTCCAGCTTCAGCAGGGCTGTTCCGATCGGCTTGTCGCTCCGTAAGAAACCGCTGTGAGACGACAGACACGGTTACACTGATGAGCCACAGCTAAGGACAGCGTGTGTGAAACAAGAAAAATCAAGGTTTAACCTCTAAACATCTACCAAGTCATTGGCAACCCATTCAACATCCACTGAAATAGAAAACCTCTCTATAGAAAAACTGTGATGCCAAAATAAACAAGACATCATTTAACATGTAGGATCATCTGGTTTCTGAACATCTGCTCATTCAGCATGTGTGTCATTTTTATTCTCTCTGTTAATCTGCACTTCTTCCTTCTAAAAACTACCCTGATCTTAAGCCCACACAGCAAACACCAGCAGAGCCAGCTGACACATTTATATAATTACACTGTGATAAGAAACTAAACCTGAAGACTCCCATCAGAGATTCTGGTTATTATGCGTTCCCACTTTCAGATCTTCTTTTTTGCAGCATATTGAAACATCACCAGTAATCCCTCACAGTAAACACCCACTAGCACGACTGATTTGACTAATTTCTCACATTTATCTGAAATAAACAGGTACAATTACAGCCCTTCTTGTGTCAAAGTCCCATTGTTGTAACATGCTAATGACTAAAGAGCCAGCAGCTGCTCGAAAAGTTCTCACAGCACATTTTAAATACTCACTACGTGTCGCATGCTGTCCGACCAGCAGCTCCCGGGACTCACCCTTTGTGCAGCAGCTCTAGCTTGAGGCCTTTAGCCGTCACCACCCTCCTGAAGCCGCGATGGTTGCGGCTGATTTGAAGCTTGAAACTCTGGTTGTATTCTGACAAAAAGAGACAACAAAAAAGTCAACATCGCTCAGCTAAATGAAGCAGTTTAGAGGACAACAAATAAAGCCAACATGGAAATATTAGGGAATTCTACCCAACTCCTTAAGAGAGTTTTTAAAAAGTACCACAACTTTAAAACCAAAATGATCTCGCATGAAAATGAACCTAAAATAAGGCTCGGTTTGTTTTGAACAGCAAAAATGCTTGTGTCCTTAAAAAAAGAAAGAAAGAAACATTTATACACCCTGGAACTAGAAAAGAAAATCCCACAACTAAAGCACACCTGAAGCAAGAGTCATGTCTCACCTGGGGAGTTAGTGTTCTTGATGACAGCTGTTTTGAGTTTCTGTGGCTGCTCCTGGTGGCAGCAGATGAAACTTAAGCAAAAACACTCACTGGTGTTAATTTTTAAAAAGGCGGATTTTCAGGCTCTTACCGTGCTGGGATAGGGGAACTCAAACTTGACGTAAGCATCCAGATCGTTTGCTTGGATTCCTGCAGGAGGAAGAAAAGCAAAAAGCATGAAACTTTTGTTTTACCCACTTTGAGGTGTGACCTTCGACTCGATTTATGGAAAATCAGTCTGAGTAACTGATTCAAGATCACTGGTTTGTTCTATGAGTTGAATTCCCCGTTTATCCCTGTTCATCCTCCTGTTTTATTGCTGATATGAATATTTTTAAATTCTGAATAAACACGTCCTTGGGGGGGAAAAACAAAAAACAGGAAAAACTGATAAATGCAGATTTTTACCACTAGGAGCAGGAAGATTCATCCCTTTTACGATAATAACAACCATGTCAGTGCTGCTCAGCTCTGGAAATATCCTGAAAACAACAACAGGAAAAAAAGCAGGGAGAAAGTTGAGTGATTTATTGTGTCTGCTTCAAGTGTAAACACTAAGAAAACTGCACCAGTCACTCAGCAAAATTATGTTGTATACACTTTTAGAAACATATAGAAAACTGCTTTTCTCTAAAATTTGTTTAGTGCAAGCAAAAGATGAAGGCATGTATGAAATTATTTACTGCCCCTTTAATATATAAACCATCTATTAAAATAAGTGAAAGCAGATTATTTGCTAACTTTATAACTAATGAATAACTCAGCAGGAGTAAAGAATTGATGGCAAATGTTCCCACTTGGCTATGCGAAATGACTTCTCCTCGAAATGATGTTTAGGAGGAGGCAGACCCCTCGACTGAGCCAACTTCAAGACTTCCATACTCTTCTTACAGCTTTCAGCCATTTTCTCAAACCTAAAAAAAACATGAAAAAAAGGAATGAAACCTTTTCATGTTTCATGTCATCAACCATTCAACAATTAATTTAGAGTTTAAATGTAAATCTCTGTAGGTGACGAGGAAGCTTACTTTGTTGTTTCAGTGACGTTTCCCAGGTGTTTGAACTGCTCGGAGTAAGTTAAACATTTCTAAATAAAGGGAGAAAGCCAGGAGAAAGGGTCACAGAGGGTCACAGTTTGGAGAAATCAGAGGCAGAAAATCTGTTTCTGGCAGCAGAAATTATTCATGAACAAACATCAGAGAGCTGAAAAGTTTCTTCTGAGGGGAAATCTTGTTAATAGTTTAAAGGCATAAACACATTTATTTAAAATCACAAATAATCTGTAGAATTTGGCCAAAGAAAAATCTAATTCCGTAAAATTTCAAAAAGAACTTTTTATAAAGACTCTGCTGCGGTTTTACCTCGTGCTGCTCTTTCAGGATCTTGGCCAGCTGCGTGTAAACTTCCTCGGCTTTCTCTGAGATCTGCACGTCGCTGTGGTGGACCAGGATGAAGTCTTCGTCTTCGTCACCAGGAGGCGACGGCACCTGCAGGCAGAGAGAGAGAGAGAGCATTTTTAGCCTGTGTTGCAGACACTCAACACAACACATCAGTGTGGGTGAGATTTCTCTATAGTCTCATCTCAGCAGCTTAATTTTCAACCATACACTGTTCATAACACTTTACACCACATGTGTGCAGAGACACATTAATGTCACCCGACATTTCCTTTCTTTGTTGTTTTTTTTTTGCCACATTTTATTTAGTGGTGGAGAGTCTGAGATTTTAAGCCCTATGGGAATGTCCCCCAAGAGGGTCATGGATCCCCTATTGATCCTCTACCTAATCACACGAGCCAAGCTTAAAATCTCGGACGCTCCACCAGTTGCTCTTAGAACTGAAGAAGCTTCTCGGATGAGAGGTGAAACGTCTTCAAGGAAACTTAAAGAAGTCAAGACGCTTTTCTTTCCAAGCTCCTTAGTCTACAATGAACTGGATGACTGAGAACCTTCACAGACAAATTTTCCAAACTTTAGTGATAAATAACATTTCTTATTTTATCTTAAATCGGATCATTTAAACAAACTGCTGATAACCCTCTTCTCTCCTGTGCGTGCGTATAATTTAACTGTACTGGCCAAAAACTTGTTTTGAGAGTCAGATTTAAATATCTAAAGCCTTCTAAAGCCTGTCATATAACATGCAAGTTTTTAGAAACAAATTGTTGTCTTGTGTTTTGCAGCTTCAACCTAATTCTTACATAAAACACAATGAAATTTCAACAACAAACATCAACGTAACTCCATCAAGGCACATTCAGAACTAACTTTCTCACTTAGTCATTTTATCTAACTTTAAATTGTGTTTCTCAAAAAATAATCTGAATCAGGCTGATCTTACTGAGCACCTAAGGACCATTTTCATCACAGCTGCCATTTTTAGATCTTTTCCTGGAAGTCAGGTTTTTTTAATAGCCAAGGCAGCACTGAAGATGAAGAGCAAGACAGGAAACATGCTCTTCATTTCTTTCTCCAACTTATCAACATTGATCAGGTTTTGCACTGAGGAATGGTGCCCCAGTGTGAGACTGTCCACACAAGCAACATCCTGCGGTGTCTAAGGGAGGGTATTAGGCAGAAACATCTGGACTGTGGTGAAAGCCAGCACAGCATCACCAGATGCCAACGCAGTATTTCCTGACCACCTGCCCTTTTTATCAAATTTGCCTCCCTGCAACATCTTCTACGGCTCCAAAATGAAAACACAGTTGAACGATTCCAGCCCACATTTCAGTTTTTAATAAACAGAAAAACTGAGTGGACTTTCTGTGACTAGCTTCTAAAGAGCAGTAATTAACTCTGTGGTGCTTCAGAGAACCAAACTGAATGATCTTGGTTTTGGCACGCTGGAGCAGGTGCAGCGCTTATCACAGAAGGACAGACAACAGGACTTCTGCTGACAGATTTAAAACCAGCAAACATTAAAGATGTTCTAGAGGTGCACGTGAAAAAAACTTTTGGTTTTTCTGAACCTGTTCTCAGACCTTGTAATCTACAACCTGAATGAAGCCTATTTTTAACTGTAAGCAGGTTTTGGTTAATCCAGATATGAAGCGTAGATCCACTGTCTGCTCACCGTGCTGATGTCCACAGTTTTGCCGCTGCGTGCCGCCTCGATCATGGGCTCGAAGCTCTTGGCGGTGCGGAGAAAAATCTTTGCCTGCTCCATATCATTTTTCTGCTTCGCCTGCAGCGCAGCCTTCATGTATTGCTTCTTTCGACCCTCCAAGAACTCCAGCTGCTGAACAGCTGGAAAATGAAGACAGAACAGACACAAAGCGAAGTAGTTTATAGATCTGTAATGAGCCCCTAGGTTCTTCAGTCAGTCAGTACTTCTCTCCATCTACCTCGTCTAAAACTTTTTCAGTACGAGTTGAGAGGATGTTCTGTTAAAGAGTTTCTCAGGAGCCAAAGGAGTCTCTGGGTTTTCAGAGGATGTCTTATATCCTTCAGACTTAAACTCTTGTGTCTTACCTGTTTGTGAGAGTCCTTCTCCGATGGTTGTCCTGTCAGGTGAAGCTGACGGAGTCCTCTTCTGTTCGTGACCTGCTGTGGGAATGTCTAAAGTGGGCTTCTTTGGCTCTTCAGGAGCAGCAGGCTTTGCCTACACAGACAAAACACTACAGTCAATTTTTCCACAGGAACCAAATATTTAATTACCTTGTAATTCTGTGATCCTACCAATTCTTCCTTTGTCTCATCCTCTTCCTCATCTGCAACTTCAGCAGCATCACTAGAGGCAAGCTTATTAGCTGCCTCCAGAGCAGCAACAATCCCCTGCTCAGCTCCCACTGCCTTCTGGCCAGGGATCGGAGGAAAGCCTGTAAGAAAAGGTGTTCACTGACCTTTTCAGCTTAGCAGAAAAAAGAAATGTCCATGTATTTGTGCTGCAGCAATAATAAAAGTATACAAAGTAATCCTGCACTACAGAACTGAGCACATAAACATAATTGGGCTTTATAGAGTTAAATTTCACTTGGAAAAATAAAAAACATGTATCTCACCAGGGGGAACCGGCAGCTCGTCAAAGTTGACTGCTTTTCCTGCTTTGTGAGCGCGGATGGCGCTCTGGTATTGCTGCAGGAGGCAGGAGTTTAAAAATATGTTAGCAGCAGAGCCAATCCTCTCATCGGGGGGTAAACGTAGAAGTTTGCCGATGCTAAGTGCTGGGAGTCTATGCCTTTATTATTATGTCTGTCACTTTAATTTATTGCCTCGTTTTATTTACTCATACCCACACAATTATTCGAGATTTTAAAGTCTTAGACACAAACAAATCCAAGCTTCAACAAAAAAGGGAAAGAGGATGGTCTGTCTCACATTTTGGAGCGGACCCGTTTTCACTCATCCAGTACAATCCTGAACATTTCCAGAACTTTTTACCCGAGAGAGGAGCACGTAAGAACACAAATGTCCTTCGCAGCTGGATCACATATAAATCTCTTTGTAATTAGCTTAATTAGCTTAGTATGCTGCCTCCAGTGCTTTCTTTTCAGGCATTCGCCTCATCTACAAACAAACACTACTTCAAGTAATCCAAGTCTTGCTCTATGCTCGATGTGAAGAAGAATAATTGTGGAACAAATCCCATTCTGATTCTGTTCAAAGTGTGCAGTTCATGTGTGGAAACGACCCAAGACTGCATGAAAAATAAAACGCTGTGTCTATGTCAGAGAGGACGAATGTGACAAAGCTTTAGTAACAGAGCACTTTGACTGTAAGGACAGACTTCAGAAGTTTCTCCTGTTACCTTGGCAATACGGTCGTGCATTCGGGCCTTGCGGTCGTCTCCGCTGGCCTTGGCCTGTGCAGACGCCTCCGTGTACTTGGCTCGTCTCTGCTCGAGAGCCTCCAGCACATCTTTAGGAGCTGAAGGGGCTGAAAGAAAGAAAAAAAAAAATCAACCAGAACTACCCACTGTAGCGACCCCGTGAACGAGGCAGTAGCTTTATCTGATTGAGTACAGAGGCAATATGGACGTGTCAAAGATGCAAATGTCTCTCGGTTGGTGCAGGAAAAATGATCAGATATAAAATAGAGTTATTATTTTGATTCGTAGCAATGATGAAAATAATAATAATAATAATAATAATAATAATCTGGAAGAAAAAATTACTTTGCCACACTCCTTTTTGCTACAAAGCTCTTGTTTTACAAGTTAGGCACACCTGTTTCCTTTATAGTGGTGCATCTGCATCCTCCTAAAAACTCATGACAGTTCAGTTCAGCTTGAGCCAAGATGGAGAGAGAGAGAGAGAGACTTTGGTCGACAGATCAAAGGACCATTACAAAACCTGCTGCAGCTCCTTTTGTCTCCATATCTCTGAGGGACCTGGTGTCATTCGTTTATCAGCTGCAGCTCTCTGCTGCGCTCCTGGCTACCATGTAGGTTCAAAAGGCCCAAGTAAACTGTCACCCCAACCTGTTGCTGCCCCCATTTTCACCCTCACAGCGGCTAATTGCCCTTATGAGATGCCTTTCCACTCAAACATATCTAGCAATATGAGCTTTACTCCTTACCAGACAACCCAGTGTCCCCCACCACCTCCAAATCATATATTTGTGGTTTTTCCATCTTTTGAATTACTATATTGAAAAGTACAAGTAAGTGCCTGTTAAAAGCACAATTCACGTATAATGTTTGTTCAGTTAATTAATAACTCATACATACATATACTATACATTTTTTCACAACACAGGCTCATTGATTTCACTATGAATGAACCATGGGTGCTTACAAGGACTGTAAATCTCATCTCATCAGCCATGTGACATTTTGTGAATGTTTACTTTTTAATGCAAACAGCTGAATGTTTATCAGAGCTGTCATGTTTGGGGTCACTTCCTGCTACTCATCTTTATGTAAATGAATACAACGCTGTCACAAAACAAACAGCATGTTTTCTTCTGATATAATTTGCTGTATTTTAAGAGAAATAAGCTGAAAGCAGAACTACGTGACCGTTAAAATGATTCCTACCTGGAGCTACTGCAGCCGGCGGGGTCGGCTGTGTGCTTTGACCAGCGGGAGCTGCAGCCACCGGAGCGGAGCTTCCTCCTGGACATTCAACACAAAAACACAAATTCAACTGAAACAAACAGAAAACAAGTTTGTGGAAGATCTGTGTGATCTCTATTGAGTTTCTAGAATAAAGTCCTTTTTTAAAAAACGACTTTTGTTATTAGTAGTTTACTGCATTTTAGATGCATAATTAATGTGACTACATACATACCCCAGTTTAGTGTGTTATAGCTTAAAGTTGAACTATGGTGCTGGTGTACATAGAGGTGTACACCCCTTAGAATTCATGGTAATGTGTTATTACCCATTTGTGTAGGTATTTAGCTACACAAAGTAAAGGATGCATTTTTTTGTCTGGAGTCATCCCTTTGCGGGAAAAGGAGTGACAGGAGAGTTAACCAGGAGGGGGAGACGTGAAAGAAAACAATCAGTGTTCAAAAAAGTGACATGCCAAGCACAGGTGATGGCCATGGCAGACGGTTTTCATTGTTTTGAAAAGTACATTTTAACTTTGGTTCTCCCCCTTTGGCTGGTTGAAGGACCAGAAACGGCACACGCATGAGTACTCCACAGACCGGTTGTTCCACATATTTTTGACATTGCCCCCTGGTGATGGTAAACATGTAGATGATGGCCTATGAAGCAGTACACCGAAGAACTGACTGAAACTGAATGTCAGGTCTGAGCTTTTGTCTCAGGTTGATTATTTGTGCATACTCTGACCTCATTATTTACATTTTCTGTCATGTTTAATGTGGACATTAAACATGACAACCCCTGCAACAGCACACACACAGAATATCAGATGAAAAAGATACTTTTTCAATCATTTGTAATGCTGACACAAAACACTTAAGGTAAGTACTAAACAGAAAAGTTTATTACTGCCTGTGCCAAACAAATATTCACCATACTGACGTGGAAAATAAAGCTTAGAGGGAGATGCAGTTTAGCCTTGGATGTTACATTTTTGAATAATCTCACCAAAACATCCCAGCTGAACAAGCCCCGCCCATCTGCTGTTCAGGCCTTCTGTTTGCAACGGGCAGCCAATGAGAAGAAAGTTGGCTTAAAAGGAGAGGAGTTATAACTGAGGTTCTGCCTCTAAGGCCCAGTATAAGATAAACAATGGCCTATAATAACCCTAACGTAACAGGATAGCAGATTTCTAACCAATTAAGACAACACAGACTGATTGCTTTTACTGTACTTGAACCACTGGTGCCAGTTCCTTGGTGTGTTCATCATAACAAAACTGAAATTTGACGCTAGTGTTTCTCACCCTGTCCTGGAGGTGAAGGAAGGCCACTCAGATCCACTGACTGTCCTTTTTCCAACGCCTCGATCGCTGCATCGAAACTCTGGATCAAATTTAAAAGAAAAAAAGGTCAAACATAATGATGGTCTTTGTGAGGATCCGCATTTTTGGCATGTTTCACATTCTTCAGAGAGAAACCCTGCCAACAGAGTGTGCAGCAACACAGTGTGGGGATAACAACGTGCAGTACTATGCTACTATTTTAACTCTAGATTCAAATAAATGTTTTCTAAATCTTACAGCACTGGAAATCAAATCAGACACGAGCGATGAATGTACAGAGGATAACAGAATGCTTTTTCTTTTTTTACCGTGTTTGTTAACTCTACAAGATTTGATGCATGCTCAATAATTCTGGTGAGGCAATCCCAGAAAGTTTGTATGGATGCAGTGTTTTCGGGAGAAGAAACATTTCATCAGTCATCACAGTAATCAAAGAAATTAAATGTTTCTTCCCCTGAAAACGCTGCGTACAGATAAACAGAATGAACTTTCTGAGATACTCCAGGGGTGTATCAGGAAGGAAATAAAGCTAATGTTCAGAAAAATATAATTACTGTATAATAAAATGACCAAGCATTAGTGGACATCAGTTTGTTTAAGGCTGAAAACTTTAGATGACTCAAATTTCCCACTAAAAAGAAGAACATACAGCAAAGGACACGCAAAGTGAATCTAGACAGTTGTTGGTGATAAACCACAACGTTTTTGTTCTGAATTCTTAGCTGTGGATGTCACTTTTCGTTCTATTTTGGTTTGTAGCATTTAAAGTAAATCAACATATTCTTGAAAATGGTGCCACCCTGCTGTAGTACAATCTTTAGGTGGCACCTGGAAGTAAAAGTTAGAGAACAGCTGTCCTGAAACACCCACCTCACCAGAAGCCATAATCACGCCCTCTAATCACCTTAATCATGGCAGCATACACGACCAAACAGTGATTATACTTCATTGGCTGTTATTTCTCAAAGGTCTATTTAAACACATCAACTGACTTTCAAAAGATTTTCAGTAAACCTGACCTCTGAGCTTTCCCTTGTCACCAAATGTACAAGGCCACCAGCATGTACATCTATGATATCTATCGATTTGAAAATCCCACATTGCCACATTTCAAGTTATGTTCACTCGAAATCATTTAATCTGATCATGCCTGATAACAAAGAAAACAGCTGGTGATACAAGTTTAAAGAGCAAAACAAAGAGAACAAGAGCAGTGTGAGGATACGCGCCTCATGAAGGCTCTGATTTCAAAAAGATATCTGGATTAATTAATCAAATTCTTCATGTTTTTTGAGGAAAAAAAAAACATTTATTTGAGAAGAATTTAATTCCAGTTTTGCTCCCCCATCTCAAAATGTTCCCAGATCCAAATAGACACTAAAAGTTAATAACAGAAAAAAATAAAAAGGAACCAATTCCTGCTTGGTAAAGGTAAGTATTAGATTTTTCTTAAAAATAATCCTGTGAGACATCACGTTGAAAACAGACACACGGTATCTATTATCAAAAATGCAGCTTTTACAACATTCCTACAGAAGAAACTTCCTCTGCTCAGAAACATTGCTGCACTTCTCATCGGAAAAAGGCTTCATTCTGTGTATACACACAGATACAAACACGCTAAACAGGAAACAGAAACACCGTTTTGAATTACACTGTTGAAGGCCAGAAAATACACAATTTCTTACAAAGACGTGACAAATGGCTACATGTTTCTGTCTGAAATCCTTTTATCTGATTTAATATAAAAACATCACATTGAAAATGTTTTTAAACCATCTACAACAGACCTGTCAGACCACAATTCAGTCTGCTGGTTATCTGTCACTTCATTTTGAACACATCACTCATAGCTGCCGGTCTCTGACTCACCTTGCTGGTCTTGAAGTAAAGCTTAGCTTGCTCCACATCTCCTTGCTTCTTGGCTCTCAGCGCTGCCATCTTGTACTCTTGCTGTCTCTCCAAAAGCATCTTCTTGGTGGCCTTGTTGGCTGAGGGTTCACCGGACAAATCAGATGTCAATTCCCACAGTGAAAGGCCTCATTCATCGCAATAATGAGGAGGGAGAAGACGACAGATTCGCCTCAGCTATATCAGTCATCAGCTTCCCTCCGATCCAAACTCAAATGTGTGCAAACCATGATCAAATGCATCATAGCGTGCTAAAATACAGAAAAAAATATAATCTAAACCTAAAATGTGTTGGTGGTCACTTTATATAGCCTGTTTAAGAGTTGAGAGGTCTTTACATAATACATAAATAATAAAAATATAATAATAAATTTTGATGAAGACGGGGTTTTTTTCATCGATTGGAAGATTAAAAACATCTACTTGTTACTGTTCTCTGGTCAGTTTAATCTGACTCATTTTGATAATCAGCATCAAGCGTAACAGATATTCTAACACAGACAGATTGCTTTTACTGTGCAGCTCAATTATGCCTATAGCTGTAGTCTCCATGCCAATTCTGAGCAAAGAAAAACACGGTCTAATGTGCAACTCAAGAGAAACTGACCATCTGATTGTGAAACGTCAGCAGCTTCCTCATCGGTTTGCTCCTGAGGAGATGGGAGGCTGCTCAGAGTGGATAGAGCAGCAGAAGACGATTGCTCCTCCTCGCTGCTGGGTGTGATGACATCGGGCGCGGCAGGTGACTGTGGTGATGTGGCCTCCGACTCCCGTGACTGAGAGGGCTGAGGTGGCAATGGTACAGGGGGAGCAGGCCTTGCAGGCACAGCTGGTCGCGGGGCAGCGCTCGGGGCTCCGGTGGCAACAGGCGGCGGGATCTCTGCCTCATTTACAGGCCTTCCTTTTTTCACAGCACCCAACATTGACTCCAACGTCTGTGAGAGAAACCATAAATTCATAAAGTCAACAAACACGCCATCATGTGTAATAAAAAGGGTTCATCGCAGAAATCTAATCACTTAAGACTCACAAGTGTAAACAATCACCAAGAGGTTTTATGGGCAGGAGTAAGAAATAGATGAAAATCTTTTACATAAGGTGTTTTAAGAAATGCAAACCAAAATTGCATCTTCTGACTGTGACATAACGAACAACTTGGTGTAAATTCATGCCCTCTGCATGTCGTACCTTCAGACCACGATCATATCTCCTGGCTTTTGAGGACTCCCCTGCTGTCTTGGCGTTTTGCAGGGCTGTCTTGTACATTGCCAACCTCTCCTCCAGGGTGTGTTGGAGGCTGCCGGGGGCTGCCGCAGAGACTTTTACTTCCTCCTACGAGTGTGAGACCAAAACAACCTAAGAAGCAGCTGGAAACATCTGGTTAAAGGAAGAAATGACTCACTGTGCAAAACATGTTGACATAAACAACATATTTTTCAGTTTCTGTCCATCTACATCTTAACCTTAATCATATGCTTAAAATTCGAGGCACGTTAAGCATCCAAAGTTTTTAAAAGACACTAAAATGCAGATGTGAGGAAATACATCACCAGGAATGAAGTCAGACTTACTAGAAGGAATGAAAATAATTGACCTCAACTGCATCTAGTCAACAGAAGCTGATCACGTGCCAGTTGAACAACTACAACTGTTGTTTGTGTAAAAGTTTAAAAGATCTTTGATTTCATATTAAAAATAAATAAATAAATAGGCAGCAAGTTTTATAAAACCTCAACAGGTAGGTTTCCCTTTCTTTTCAGTTACTGGCAACAGGCAAAAAAATCTCCCATTTAACAAACATGTTGATGGTGTCAGTTTCAAGTTTGGCAGAAGCAGCGTGTATTGTACCTGTGCCGCTGGGGACTCTGGTGTTTCACCCTTAGAAGATTCAGCAGGGGCAGAGGATGTGGAGGAAACATCCTCAGCTTCCTCCTCACCCACCACTTCCTGTAGCTCTGCCTGATAGAGGGGGGAGAAAAAAAATGCAACCGATCAACAGTAAGCTTTCTCTGTGCACACACAGAGCTGGATTTCAGAAGCAGCGAGTGGGAGTCACGCTTTCCATCTGTTGTTTGATAAATGGAAATACTGCGAAGCAGAAAGTGCAGAACATAAAAAAAACAAACCAACTGTAATTTACAGCTTAATAACACCATGATTACTGTGTGAGCTATAAAACTGACGGGCACAGAGAGGCCAGAGTGAATTTATTTATTTGTTTTTATTGGTTTTAGTTCATGGAGTCAGTTGATAGTGACTGTGAGTTAATATCAGTAAACTGCTGTTCTGTTCCAGTTTTTCAGGGTTAACAAGATGAGCAGTGACTTAGAAAAAGCACACATTTGCCAAAGGAACGTCATCTTTTTGGCTACAGATCACTTTCTGACTACTATACACTCAACGGACACTTCATTAAGTACACCTAGTTCCAGGTTGACCCTCTTTTGTCTGAAGAAATGCTTTAATTCTTAGTTACTTAGATTCAACAAAGTGCTGGAAACATTCCTCAGAAATTCTCAGCCCATACTGAGATGACAGCATGGAACAGTTACTGTAGATATGCAGGAAGCACATCCATATGAATCTCCCTTTCCGCCACAACCCAAAGGCGGTCTATTGGATTGGGATCCGCTGACTGTGGAGGCAATTTGAGAACAGTGAACTTGCTGTCATACTCAGGAAACCAGTTTGAGCTCATTTGAGTTTTTGTGATAGGGGATAATATCCTGCTGGAAGCAGCCATCAGAAGCTACACTGTGGTCATAAAGATGGTCAGAAATTACCAGCAACAACATTTAGGTAGGCTGTGGCATTCAAGCAGTGCACCATGGACACTAAGGACCCCAAAGTGAACTGCCACTCGCTGGAGAGTTTCTCTTTTTCAAACCATTCTCTGTAAAGCCCAGAGATGGTTGCATGAGAGAAAATCCCAATAGAGCAGTTTCTAAAGTCACTTAAATCACCTTCCTTCTTCATTCTGATGCTCATGCTTGAACTTCAGCAAGTTTTGCCGACCATGTCAACATGCCTAAATGCACTGAGTTGAGGCATGTGATTGGCTGATTAAATATTTGTATTAAAGAGCGGTGGAACAGGTTTAGCCGCGAAAGTGGCCAGTTGGTGTAATTGTGCATTTGTTAAAACACAGCTACAAGGAACTGGAAACCATGACTCCTAAGGAATCTAACACGAAGCACGATTATTGGGTTAGTGAGCCACATCATTCTAAAAGGATAGAATAAAGTGACCTAAAACTTAAACCAGACTGGTCAATGTATTTCTAGACTTTTGATCACCAACAATATCCAAGCTCGCTTTGATTAGGCCGGAAAGTCATTTCCACGTCTCTGCCATGTATGGGACTTTATCACTGCACTCAGTAGCCTTTCATCTTTAAATCTATGCAGTTTACAGTTTTAAAGCTCTGGTGTGCACTGAAAACATACCAAGTTATAAAATAAACACATCAGCCTAGATTTCTGATTGCTTGCTGGCCTTGCCTAAAGTTTGGGAATGGATCAAACAGAGCAGGTTATTTAAACACTAACCAACAGGTCTTCATCGTCTTCGACATTGTCGTCATCATCATCATCCAGGTCCTTCATACACTCGTCTGCCATTCTTGCGATATCTTCCATGGGTAGGGGACCTACAACACAATCAAGGTGTCATGAATTCACATTATAAGCAGAACAAATGAAGCAATGCAGTGTGGATGAAATCTTCTAAAACAAAGAATTCACAAAGAGTGATTGTCCGGGGAATAATTATCACACATTCACTAGACTCACAGTCAAAGTCTCCAAATGAAAGAGAGCATTCTCACAAAAAAGTTTTATAAACCTAAAACTTGAAGATCATCTTTTCTCTGTCAGTGCGCCCCAGGGCGGCTGTGGCTACAGTGTAGCTTGCCATCACCAGTGTGTGAATGTGTGTGTGAATGGGTGGATGACAGGTTGTGTAAAGCGCTTTGGGGTCCTTAGGGACTAGAAAAGCGCTA